GCTTTGAGTTTCAGTTAAGATATACTATCAAGGAATACCTATACCTACCTGTACCCATCGCTACCCTCTGCCTATCTCCATAGGCCGTTCCTGACACTAGCCTATAGATAGAGATGTCAACGCTTGAAGAGGCTTCAAGGTTGACAGGTATGACCCCTCTTGCCATATACATGCGGTAAGCCAGCTACTTGGCTGGCGGCCTGAGCCGAGTGTCCAGTGTCACGTGGGTGTTCGTGACACCTATCCTAGGTCGCATATAAGGCCGTTTCTGATAAATATCTACTTTATAATACTATTCTAAAGTTACTTAACTATTTATACCTTACGTACTCTCGACCTAGCTTATATAATAGAGGATCTATGACTGAGGAAGCCTAACCTAGTTAAGCCATATAGGAAGCAGCTCTGACACGATGTGAAAGTCGGGGGTTTTGGTGGGAAATGGGAGGTGGACGGATATTTTTACTAGGGTGGTGTACAATGGATCCTGCGGCAATTGTTCCAGCCTCTACTTAGCGCTAGAAATGGATTGTTAGCCGATGACAACGGCCCCTTTAGCGATAGGTAACTGCCAGCAGCACACGGTAGAAGATCATAGAATCAGAGGCGAGACAACCTCAGGTACCCGTGGTTTCTTCTCTGGCAGTCATAGTCAAACGGATCCCCCAGCCAGTTCTGTTGTTCTCCCTCAAAGTCTCCCTGTCCCGAGCGGGCTCCAGTTGGCACGTGTCCGTCACATGGAAATGTTGGCGTAACAGGGGGGCTACAGCACTAAATTTCCCCCACAGAATCTATTCGAACCGAGTCAGCCTGTGCGACATACTCGCACGACCGTGCATGGCCGTCCACTTCACAGTCATCCAGTTCCCCTTCACGGAAGAAGCGCGACCTTCAGAATCCCGCGACCTTAAGTTCAAGGTGCTTGCACATTTTCTTGGAACTTCGGTGCTTTGCAAGCTTTTTGTTCCCCGCCTTTGCAGTAAAAGTCTTGCCACGATACTTTACTTCAGACCCGAACTTGGGGGGATACCCTCGAAGAGTCAAGTCTTTGTAGACTGGAGCAACGCTCTTGCCCGCGAATTGCTCCTGCAGCGCTTTCGTGTATCTCCAGATTTCGACTTCAGAGTCAGTCGAATCCGAGTCACCCGATGAGTCTTCCTGGATTGCCACGCCCGATTGAATAGGATTTGTGACGTTACTTTCGCTGCTCGACCTTGAGCCATATGAGCCCACATTGTCGACAATGGCATGCTCGAGTATTTGTTGTTCATGAAGTGTTCCCCGCCTACGGATGGCGCCAATCCAACCCAGGGACACTTTCCGGAACTTAATATGTCCTTGGAAGTGGCCCGCTTCAGATGACTGGTATTGGCGAACTCCATCCCTCCGCAATTGGCGGCAGAGATCGTCGTGCCGAAAAGCCGCACTTTCTTGGAGGAGAGATTCCTACGGGATTCGAGTTATTGATGAAATAGCGCCGCAGGATGCGAGTAATACCTTTAAGGAGGTGATGTCCTCGGAACTAGATGTCTTTCGAAGTAATAGAAGAGCTAGAGTAGCTTCTAAATGTAGTTCTCCGATCCACTCGTCCTTTTCTCCGGTTTCATCTGCGTGGAATAACGATGCGTTCCCGACAGCGTTGTCTGCTGGAAGCTCGGAAGCCGCTAATGCCATATCAGCTCTGTAATCGGGTTGACTGGATGGAGGAGAACTATCAGACACAGCTTCGGTCGAGACTTGAGATCTCTTGAGAAGACAGAATTTAGGAAACGTCGGAGCCATGAGAAGAACTAAAAAAAATTCTCTCTTGCCATGCCATGGTGAACGCTGGGGCTCCAGGATTTTATGCCATTCTGGCCGCATGGTCCAGCTGACAATCTGCTGGCGTCCTCGCCCGAAGTCCTGAATCGGCGCAGCGCCCTGCATCATTGAGAATGTGCCTTTCTAGACAATGATTCGCACACCAGCGTAATCGTTCAGGGTTGCTGTACATCCATGAGGAGCCAAGGAAGAAGAGCAAAAAACCTAGGAGACAAGTACAACTCTGAGATGTTTTTGCCCCGAGTACTCATGCGGCCACGGAGGGTACTAGGCTCGGAGAACCAGTCCTCCGTTGTGCTTTCTTGACCGGTCTGGAATCCAGCTGGAGTTGCACTAATCAGGTGACGATTCAACCCTTCTTTCCATGGCGGCTGTGCATTTGGCGGCCTGCAGCAGGAGATCGAAGCATCACAACCATCAACAGGACAATCTCAACAGTTGGCGCTCAGCCACAACCGACTGTTGCCCGACAAGCTACTTCATGGCTCATAAGGGCCTTTTCGATCACGCTGTTGTTCGATGCGAATCATGTCAGGAGAGAACTCATGGCCGATTCCCTTATCCAACAAAAAGACGAAGCTGTCATCACGGCTTCTGGTCTGTGGAGACCGAGCGAGCTGGAAGGGCTACTGTGTTGCTACAGCTTCCTCAGCTAGCCCATCTTTGCTGTGTCATGGCCGAGAAGCGGTAGTCCCTATTGAGGGAGTATGCACATGACGGAGGGGCCAAACCGGAACCGCCACGAAATAGTGGAGCGTGTGATCACAAGAAGACCAGTCAGATCAAGAGTGGGGTCGATGTACACTGGGAGAGACGATGCTGGCTTGGGATGAGGGGATGGAGGGCATGCAGGGTGATGTCGCGTGGGAGGATATTGGGCTGCGAGGCAGATTTCACTTGAGGAGCCTGGGCCTTGACATGGTCAGGGGGAGGCCCGACTTGCGCGATGGAGCGTACAGAGTTGGCATAGAGAGGACCGCAAGGTCGAAGAGACCACAGGGATGGCAGGGATCTCGATAAGTCGCTTGCGCCCGGCATGAACATTCGCCCATGAACCCATGGGACTTGAGCGAGAAGTCCCAGCTCAGGCAGCCCCAGATCCTTAGTAAGTACTATCAACCCGATTTAGGCTCTCGATCCAACCGCTATTAGCATCGCCTCGTAAATAAGGCCAATAGGACTCGTAAAGTTTCGCTTTAGGATTTACCGGATCCCTTCCGACTTATTTTTGCCTTGCTCGTACAATACTGTATGTACCTTGGCGGTCACTGTCCGAAGATTAGTGGTCGAAACAGAGGTCCAAGATAGGTACGTGAATCGGGGCAAGAGTCCACGGAGGCTGGGGGATGGCTGTGGGATGCTGAGGCCCATACCATAACAGGGCTGGTCGTACATATCTTCACCCCAGGGGCCACATTTTAGGCCTCGCAAAAATGGTGGTTGGCGGTCCCTGTAAATGACAAACTCCCTCCCATCGGCATCGGCGGGGCCTACGGCACGACCCGGGAAGGCTGACACGAGGTGTAAGCTAACCGAATTTGTCGTGCAACAACCTCGTCCACAACTTCTCACCCTGCCACGCTAGTCATTTCACATATATCCATTCCACAACCACTTCTTTTCTAATAGCTTGCTCTGAGGCTATCTCGACGCGTCATTCGTGTGTCTGTCATCCGTACTCGTATTGGTGAGAAGTCTTGCCGGTCCATCGCCACGGCAACGAAACCCACCGCCTACATCGACGTGAACTCGGAAGAACTGCGGGACATCTTGCGCATGGTGCTCCAAGAGGTTAATTGGATCAGCCTTGGCGGAGACAAGCCCGCTGTCATTCCCATTGGTGCAGGTCTTACTGCGTCACTGACCGAAGACAGGTCGAACAAAGCTTGTTGTTTCACTACCTCCCCGAGCTTGAAGCGTATCGCGCCAACAGGAAGAGTGTCCGCGCTCTCGACCTGTTGATTTAAACTCTCCAGAATAGGTACAAATCCACCACAGAACGTCTCGTTCCATTGTTGACGGAGGGTAAAATTACCTATGATCTGCTCTGGGCGCTCTTCAAGGCTAATGACCATGTCATTTCGGACTGCTCCGGAAGCGGTAAACCGCGGTGCTTCAGATACGGCATGGGCGAGGAGAAGAAGACAGAGCAAGGTGTGGAATACTTCGAGCTGCAATGCCAGTATCTTGATTTCGACGGTGAGGTGTTCGGTGCTGTACTGACTAAGCTGGCTATCGAGAAATTTCGTGGCGCCAGACAGATCTACACCCTTAACGCTTACCCACTCGAGTTTCATCCAGGACGCGAGAACATGAGGAAACGTCTCCGTAAATTTAGTCGAGATTTCGTCGGTCTGATGGGGATCCGCTACCGTTACTATAACGGCTATGCGTTCTTGTAGCGGGAAGATGTCTGCTTCGAACACCGGTCAAATCCAGGATCATGATCAACGTAGAATAGTTTCGGCGGAACAACCCTAGTTACCCAAGGTTCTTCACCAAGAAGTCGTATAGCTGCTTCGACACAGCGTCTTTCTTTTCTTCGAGAGGGCAGTCGGATTCTGCACGCGTAAAGAACGATGATCTATATCCGGATGAACTAGGAGAAGTCGACTTCATGATCTGTTCCCCGACCGTGATGGGTTTTAGTCTGGGTGACAAATTTTAGGGTGAGTGACCCCAAGTGATTCTACTACTGAGGGCTAACAAATCCGCCTAGGCGAGTATGCCATGGAAGATAGTGAACACGTTCAGTGATCGGACCAGCTCTTCACCTCTCTCACAATACCTGCCAGAAAGAAAGAGGTAGTCATGACTGCTGCCCAGAACCGCCTTGGCGAGCCGGGGAGCGGGTCTGCCAGTACGACCAAGGCATTTGACGGTATTGCTAGAGGAAAGAACGTGGCATCAATATCCTGCTTTTGTGAGATCTTATCGCCCCAGGCCTTTCCAAGGGATCTAACTCAACAGTGGCCAGCCGGGAGTGGGAAAGACATTCACAGCGGAAGCGCTCTCTGAACACTTCCACCGACCCCTATATGGTATGTAAGATTGACGAGCTCAAGGGCCAGCTCATGCTGACGTCACAGATTTCGGCCAGCGAAGTGAGCTTGGATGCAGCAGAACTGGAAAGGCAGCTCGGTCGTATCTTCCAGACTGCAAAAGCGTGGAAAACCCTACTCTTGCTGGACGAAGCGGATGTCTTTCTTCAGGCGCGTTCCCAGCTGACTCTCGAACGGAATCGCCTTGTGGCCATCTTTCTTCGCAAAATGGAGTTCTTCGACGGCGTCTTCTTCCTGATCACTAACCTAATCAACGACTTCGATGGAGCAATTCTGAATAGAATTCACTTGAGGATGAAATACGAAGACCTGGACAAAAAAGCGAGGCAGATCGTGATTGCCCAATCACTCGAAAAGGTAAGAGAAGGTGGAGATTCATCGAGCATTAGCAGAGAAGAAAACCTGAATTGAGCGAATGAGCGAGCATTAGTCCGTGTTGAGATGGACACACATTTGCAGTCACTGCATTATTCCATATCATGTGGCCTTGGACGTGGATCCCGAGGAGAACACGACCACATAGGTGGTTAATCACCGCATGCTGCAGATCTCGATGGGCTTTAGCCAATGTAGGAAGTTTAATCTGCTTGAGATGGGCGACCACTGCCGTATCACCGGCACCTTACTTCGGCACTCTTTGCTCCCAGCTGTGTCGTATTAGCCTGACCCGTTCACACGACTTTACCATAGGGTTACACACAAACTATGGCTCAAGGAGATTCCAAGAACCACGATGGTGCCGAGAGCCACATCTGTATCGATCTGCTTATACCGCGACCCAGCGTCGAATATTTTATTGACCTCGTTCACCAGGATCGCGCGTCGTTCCTCCTCGGCCATAATTTGATATCGTTCCACGGCGGTTGGTAAATACGGGGCCAGGTGCTGAGCGATGATTTCCGTGGGCATGTCCCGTCGCCTCTTCACCTCCCATAAAGTCACTAATTGGCATAGACGTAGGATAGCCGCTTTGGCACCCGTCTGCTGCAACATCAGGCACTGCCAGGTCATTTGTAATAACGGGTGACAGGACACTGTTTACGGCCCATATTGGATTGAGACGAAATGTTCGGGCTGCTGCACCCAAAGGCTTCGCTCTGGTGCATTCAGAAGGGAGATCGTGGCAAAGTCCAGACTGGTCCATTCATTCACCCTTCTCCAATCCGTGTGACTTTTGTGCGGTCGCGACGATGTGGACACTGCTTTGCGAGTCACTGTGAAATGAAGTTGGTCCTTCAGTACTGGGTTCTTTGCCAGCGGCTGATGAATTTGTTGGAGCTGGACATTCAATTCTTCCGCTGATGGTGGTACTGATTGGTGCATCTTTGGCTGTGGAGGTCAGAGTAGAGGAAGGAACGTGGACCCGAGCGAGGAGGGTTTATATCAAGAAGGCAGCGCGCTATCTTGATGCATGTCTCCGTTGGCCCGTCGGCGAGCCGATCCCCACCCCATGTTTCTCGGGGTACTCCCCCTAGGACCACCAATCCGCAGCTAGGGATCCTTTCTGCTAGGACACTCACATCCACGCACGACTCAGCAGGAGTCAACCTGCATTTTGCATATATAGTCCATCCGGATCGACCCACACTCTCTGATCAACCCCAAGGACATTCCTGCGTGGAGATCTCGGAAACATCTACCGGTCCGTTGGCCATGGCATGTGCTTGCTCCATCTGCGAATTCTTCGACACTACTAACGACAAAAGCAAGCTATCCCAGGTATGCTTGAATCGAGTTCCAAAAAGTCTGCTGGGCTGACCTGTCGATGCCTGGACCAGGCTGCCAATCAAGCGAAGCTGGATGAGGGACGCCAAAAATTACACTCGGCCTTCGCCGGCGAGGAAGATCTCACCGACGCAGAGGAGATTCAAGTATTCCGAGACCTGATTCGTTTAGCGAAGGAGGATAGATTTCAAGACTTATACCAGATACTTCTCCACCTCTTCGACAGCTGATCGCCCAAGTGGCTTCAGAGGCTTTCCTTTGCTGGACCTGGACGGAGTCCAAGTGGCCTGGTCAGCGTATGGCCTCCTTCGATCGGTGATCTATGTGCCCTGACGTCTCTGGTCTTGAGTTCATAAGTGCGGGAAATTCCATTCTGGTTGCCTTGCACCAGTTCCTCTACTGTCAACTACTCCTCACCGCTGTTTTGATTTCATGATGGACACGAATATCAGTGTGGTTTTCCTCGGTGCGGAGGCAGTGGGCAAAACAACACTCATTCATCAGGTGAGAGTAAGTCAGGCATCGACTGAGCTAGTGTTGACCAAGGATGCAGTTCCTCTTCCAAGGATCTGTGGACAACCCGAAATATACAACTAATATGGACATCTACCGGGTTAATCTTCCCATACATCAAAAAGTGGTGGTCAACGTGTCGATTATCGACGTAGGTGATAAGATACCTCAGGATTTTAACGCTGTTAACGCGGTCCTTATGGGATTCAGTACGGTATCCTAAGATTCCTTCGCAAAGATTAAGTTATAGTCCGGCTTGATGCATTCATTTCGCGAACAGGAGAATCCCCTTGCCTTAGTGGGAACTAAAACGGACCTCGCTCCGCAGCTGGCCTCTTGTGAGGATGGCTTCATCCTAAGTCAAGAAGTGGGAGCTTGTTACTTTCACCTTTCGACCAGCAATTATGGTAAGGTTCGAGACGTATTCAACTTTCTTGTTTAACGCCGTCTTCTTCTTGAAATGCAGCTACTGATGCTCGTACAGAGGCAGAACCGAAGTACGACCTAACAGACATCAAACCTCAATATACGAGGTGGGCTCTGTTCATTTTTCTTGGCCTGTGGGTGCAGAGGCCCGAACAAGCAAAGGGACCGTGGACGCTACTTCTGTGCCAATCAACCTGGTCTCCAAATCCCAGCACCCTCCCAGCGGCTCCGGGCGCCACATGCGATCAAAGGCGTATTCCCCAAGGAGAATGGACACTCTTGGTTGGCACCGATCCAGACCTGCCCGGGTTTGAGAAAGTCTCGCAGTTCAATCTGGTATTAGACCACGAACTACTCCGTACCCTTGTCCCCTTCTAGGCCTGCCTAGCTTTTCCCGTTTGTCCAGCGTGCATGAGATGAAGACGTCAGGTGCTGTCGGTATGGCGGGAGAGGGCGATGCTGCTGAGCGTGTGTAACCTACTCTCTTCATAGAACTATATATCACGATTTTCGTCCTATTCTCGATAGCTACTTAAGTAACTGTAATCCTCTCCGTCCGCATCGTACTACTAGGAAAACTTCTGGTATTGACTAGAAGATCGTGTCTACTGATCATCTACGCTGTACCCTTCTTAGCCTGACGCTTACTATAATGCCAGACCTGAATTATCGTCTGATAGTTCACTGGGGTAACGAGAGAATGGAACCCATCGAGGAGCCAGAGAAGGTCCTCAAATTATTAGGAACGGCCTATATAGATAGACAGAGGGTAGCCATAGGTGATAGGTAGGTATAGGTATTCCTTAATAGTATATCTTAACTAAAACTTAGAGTTTAAGGGAAGGAACACTCAGCGATTCACAATAGATGAAGGTAGTGTGCAGGGAGAAGATAGCGACCAAGGCTTTCCCTATCAGACTCTGCGCAGGCAAACTAGGGACGCCAGGCACAATAAGGAGAAAATCTGGTACATAAGGTGGGGACGCCTTCAGGCGAGCCGACTGTGGCACAGTAACCAGGGTCTGACATTTAGCTACACCGCCCTTAGATGTCTCCCTTGCAGCTCAGAACGTCAGTTAACAGCCTGAGCTCTCTGACTGGGCTGTGAAACTGGACAAGTCATTCTCAAGCCGGCATAGATAACAGAGAACCGCTAACAAGAAGGACAAATCACTCGCTTCCTGCTTCGTGTTGTTGAACGAAATACTTCTTCTATTGCCTGGGGAGTTGCTTGGTGATCAGCAATTGCATACGTGTGGCATACTGACAGCAGGCTTGAGACCGAAGATGGAAGATCACAAGACTTTGAGTCGCCCTACGAACACGGTAGCGCTCATATGAAACTGTTCGAAGTTGATATGGAATACAATTATCCACAGGGCAGGCACCAGTGAAACTCGATTTCGAGAGAGGCAAATGGTTGTATCCGACATCTATGCAGTCTCAGCAATGGCGGCCATGAGAAGATCGGTCTTCTCGGGTCTTTGGTGTCTACTCCTTGTTAGGTCCGACCACCTTTCAGGGAAGCTGTCACTCTTGTTTCTCGAACAGCGGAGAGGGTAGGAAAACAGGTCCTACAGAGTAAAGTCGGGGTTGCATCTGTACATCAGCGTAAGATTCTCTAGAAGGCACTGAAGGCAAATGTTGTTGACAAACGGCACGTCATGAAGAGAAAGTTAGCCGAGTTGGCCACCCTTCCCACCTTGGCAGGCTAGGTTCCAAGAGCTAGGCAGAGACTGGTTCTTCTTGCAATTCTGTCAACACCTCATCCACGAACATCAAGCCCGTATCTACCCTACGAGTATTTCAGAATCTTGATAGACTCCACTCCGTTGTTAACTTGGTGACGCTTCGCGCGCTAGTCTACAGATAGCCACTAAGCACCGAGTAAAATATAAGCATATGGCTTGAGTGCCAAGAGCCTAGAGGTTTATTCTGGATTAAGTTTTGCTGTTGCGTCCTTTTAGAGTGCTTTCGCCTTGTGAGTGTTTTCTACAATGCGAAACATTCTATCGGCGTCTCAACCTTGGAAATAAATATTCTTCTGGGAATATAGATATCATAAGACCTGTGACATTCACCGCGCGTCCAGAATCATCAGATCTGTGCATTTCTCGACATAAGACTTGCTTCGACCTCTCTTGTTGCCAATCGCTCGAAAAGGAAACTAATCAGGAAGACCTCCGAGGTCGGAAAGAAAAATCTCTGTACCACCGAGTGACTCCTAATCCAATTGCCTCCACCCTGGTTCGAATACGAAATCCTATACAAACAAAAATAGCGATTCAGACTCCGTCATGCTCGCAGCGGTCGGGCAGCCAGTGCCCAACACTGCCCATGCCGTCAGTGTCTCTCTGCCGTCATGGGCGGCCACGGTGGGTTACGAAGAAGGACAGGACTGGGTGGTGTCGAAAATGGAGACGGGCTATCCCAGGTTCTTCATTCATCTGACCATCCAAGAGCTCCAACGAGAGATCTTAAAGCTTTATGGCAGACCTGGGGAAAGTGTCATGCTCTTCCCGTCTCTCGCCACCGCGAAAAGATGCCAGAAGTTCTTCTACGACAAGGTCGAGGGCCTCGATACGGGTTTCGTTCGAATCTTACAATTGGCACCGGTCGTTGACAAACACAGAAGCCACGAGACCGTCTTCTCTGGACTCGCATGTGTTTTCTTTCCCAGTGACTACTTTAGCGTGGCGAAGCAGGTGTGGCAACATTCTGGAGACGGGATATCAAGCCGCCGTGGGGAGTTCTGTCTGAAAGCGTTAAAGGAAGGTCTACTTCAACCCGAGACGGCACAAACAAAGTCGAGAACAGACGACATACTGTTTACCAAAGGCCCTCGGCGATACCAACGACCCGCATCTCGAAATGGAGTGACGAATGACAGCACCAGCCCTATCGAGCCAGTCGTGAATGGGGCCGCATACGACAGCGAAGACAAGGACTTTCCTCAATTCGTAGAGGAGCGATTCGGTCGCAATCTCAGCGTCAAACTCTCCCAGAAAGCTAAACTAGCGATTCGTCGCAGGATCAGTGGGTGTCTGATAGACGACGGAGAGCTGGATCAAGCGTTGGCCGGATCCTCTAACGACTGTAACAGCAGACAAATTGGGCTCTCACAAGACGACGTCTACCTCTACCCTTGTGGGATGTCATCGATATTCAACACGCACCGAATTCTTCTGGCCCATGCAGAGGCAAAG